CGAAGCCTCTCTACGGCTATGATGGCAATTCCCGAGGACAAGAGGAGGTTAATGAGGCCGACGGTGGACCACACATGCATCGGGAATTCGGCGGCGTTTTAGAGATGCTTTGACCATCTCGCAGCGACTACCGATTTTGACTTTGACCCCAATCTGGGACACATTTATCAAGCCTCAAAAACAGTAGCGTAGCCTACAAAATACACGAGTCAACTATATTGTAACCAGAAAAACTAAAGCTAATTTAGATTCTCAATATCTCAAAACAAGTTACAACTTACAGTTTACAACTGAAGAAATCAGTTAAATGATCTAGATTTTATTGAGAAAAATGTAAACGTTATTCAGGAAGTGTTTCTTACTTAAATAAAATATGAATACACCACTGCTTGAAAGTGAAACTTGCTCTCAATCAGTGACAATTTATTTATTACGCAATAATGTTTGCACATTTTTATGTACATATTATTATTTGCTGACATAAATTTCGTTGTTTAAACATTTTTTAAAGAGATAAGAGGTTATGTAGAGATAAGTAAAGTAATACCGTTAAACGAAGCAAAGAAAGCCAACACTCGGTACATGAAGAACTTCTATTCAAACATTCAATTTTAATCACGAAGTCGTTCATTATAGCCTAGATCGACTGTGTAATTAATTAGTTTCAAGACTTTGACAAACAGATAAATGGGTCTATCGTACAAACACAGATAAACAAACATTCTTTATTTAATATCAAAACTTGGCTAGAGAATGTGTTTGTAAAGGGTGAGGCAAAGTTGTACGATTACACAAAAATACACAAAAATCTTTTTATTTATTATTTTGACAAAATATTTCATAAAAGGCCGATCCCTGTGTGAAGCTTTCACTGGGAAATAATCCAAACAACACACCCATCGCTTCAAATTGTATCTTTGATAAATATAAGGTGTGCATCAACAATGTAGCAATTCATGCGATGTTTAATGGTCAAAATAACAATACGTGTAAGTGTAAGCGTGTCATTTGCGTTGCTTTCGCTTTTTAGAAAGTCATCTTTAAGGTTGACAATTGTAATGTCTGAAATTCGAAAAATTCCGATACTTGTTTCAATTAGAAAATAATTAGGATGAGGTAATCAAATTATCGGCCGGCCTCTCCGAGAAAATATTGCTTAGTAATTTAGCAATTTAGTTTTTGTGTGACGACCGCAGCCGATACGATTACACGGCCGTAATGGGAAAAATCGGGCCGACGCGTTCGACAAAAAACGTAAATATATTTCGAGAGTGTGTGAAATGCAGAAATTCGTCTCCGGGACTCCTCTTCGACGGAAACGAACACGTAATTGCAGTCTTGCTCCACGTACTTCATAAACTCGCTTTAGTCGAGTTGCAGGCAAACACACAAGGAATATTTTGCAAAATCAGACCTACGATTTAATTACAATTATAAAGTCAGCTTGAATCGAGTTTAGAAATTCAAATTCTGTCACATGGTCTCGCTTGTCATTGTTTCTGTTTAAATTGCAAATCTAGTTTACTTCATAAGATTATTTTCGGGAGTATAGACGTCGTTGGCAGCACTTAACTGTTCAGTCTTCTACTAAATTAATTTCGAATTCATTGTGAATTCCCCTCGTCGCTTCGAGGGTGCCCCCTTTTATTAAAAACGAGAGTCACGCAATAAACAGAAATAACTTTATAAATAATAAAAGTTGCGGCCGTTCTCCCGGATTAGCATAGGAATTGAAACGTTTTCTCCCGCCAGAATACAAAAAAATCTAACTCGTTAATAAATACAAAGACCGGCACGGGTTCACCTCGACTAGTTTTCGAGATTTTTACCGTGCGAGTCGCTTGGAAAAACAAGCATACATGCTGTTTCTATCATTTTAAATTATAATTCTAAAACAAATGTTTAATTAATGAAGACTTTTCCTTTTTGTGTCGCGTCAATTCGAACCGAGCCACGACCGCAATAATTTAATACACCTCGATACATATTTTCATAAAACGGCCGTATCTTTACCCGTAATTCTGGTTTACAGCTGTATTAAATCAGCCGTATTAAATATAAACTAATATACAATTCCGCAACTAGTCTGTCGATGAAAAAATCCCGCGCCATTTAAATTTCAAAAGTCGATAAATTCGGATTACAGCCCAGACGGGGATTAAGTTATAACTTGGTGATTGAATTCCGTATTTATTGCCGGATTTACACCGTTTCAAATCATTAACGAAAAAACGACGTGAAGATTTTTTTATTGGCCCACCTCCGTCAATTGTCACGACTACTTCGAGGGTTTCAACGTTGTTGCACTCTAACGGTTTCATTTACATTCCGAAATTAACTGTCAGTCAAAAGAGACAAAAGAGACATTTTATTAAACGATTCTAATTACACATTGACCTGGTAACTTGCATCAATTAAATCACACACGTTATGTCTGCACATCTCAATGCCAGATTGGCCAATTAGAAGCACTAACAATATGGCGGAAGAGGGAATTTACACACGTGGGGTGAATAAGCGACGACTCCAACAATTGACACGTCTGGCTGTAGTTTTGTTCAAGATTTAATTTAATTAAAACAACTACACATCCCGGTAGAAATTACCTTAAGAAACTTCATAGCAGGTGAATAAAAAGTATATATGACATGTTTTATGCTTAAACTACTTATTTAAAAAAATAATAATTGATGAATAATTAAGTACCTACTATGAAAATGTGATGTGTTATCAAGAATAAAATTTTTCCAAATTTTCTTTTGTTTTTGAGTTCTGCAAAAAAAATTATTTTTCTAAATGGCAACCCTCTATAAAACCATTTTTCTCATAAAGGTTATGATCTGAGGATTACAACTATCTACTTTATTTATATTTAATTTTTTCAAAAAAAAATTTACAAAAACAAAGCATAACTTAAAAACAAAACAAAATTTCGTTCTCACAATACGATCACATTTTTTATATTACTTTAATTTATATTAATCATTATTTTCTGATTAAAAAAAACCGCTTGGTTCCATACTTTATATTGACCCTGTATATTAAATTTTCCGCCAATTCAAAAAAAAAACATTTCAGAAATAACCGTCGCTGGTCGTTTTTATCCCGAATTACTAAAACGGAATCATCTATTATGTAGTGTAGTAGGGTGGAATAAAATTTTGTTCTACTTTATTTGTTGTCTTGGCATTTTTGTTAAATTCGATGGTAACAATAATGAAAAATTCTTTTCATTTTCTGTCCAATCTCTCCTCAATCTAGTTCATTTAACATAATCATTTATCCTCCCCCAATGATCCACTAACTCAATTTTATCTATTTCCCCAGCTAAATCTACAAGCAATCCCAATTTCGCTTCCTCCTTGAGAATCATCAGCAAAGAAATAAAAATGTGAGATGCTTTCCCTCCATTAAAATCATCGTAAAATTTCGCTTTTGGTTTGAAGTCGTTTCGAGTGTCACCTAACCAAATCCCCGCTCGTTCCTCTATCTCGTGGAGCCACGAAGCCGCAAACAAATTCACAATGACAGTGTCGTATCCGAAAAACCTCAGCTTTTCGTACAAATCTTTCCGCTCATTACGACAATCACACTCACAATTCGCTTTTTCTCTGTCAAAATAAGCCAAGAATTTGTCTGTAAAATTTGATTTTTCGTCGTCGCCAAGATGGGAATGATTGATATCGACGATGTCTCAATACCTGAATTTTTTCGTCCGTCCCATTTTTCAATCAAGTGCAAGCAGATAAAATCAGGCCCATTTTATTTTCTAATCTTGATGGGTCGCCCAGGGCCGGTTTTACCTGCCTCGTGATATAATTTTAATTTGTCTCGTATTTAACTGCAATTATTGGTGAAATGAGGGGGTTGTGTAATGGTTTGGGGATTTTAATGGCAGGTTTGAGATTATACGAACTTTATGAGTGCATTGCAACTGCACGAATTCAAGTCTTGCGAGGATCGCTCTGTTGGTGTAATTATAGTTTCAACAAAATCCATAGCCATCGATATCGTGTTGCAAAAAATATGGTAATTTAATTATACGTGGGGTACGAAATTGCCGGTTTTCGCCGGTTTCATTATCTCAAATTTTCGATAATCAATTTTCACAATTTTGACACGTCGGCTAATATCATAGATTTGTCTTAATTAGAAGTCGATTAGACGATTCGATCGATCCTTAAACAAATCAATTTTGGGTTAATTTGACAAGTCGCGTGTTTTCTTTGGAGAAAAATGCAAATTTTGAGATTATGATTCTGGAGGATCGTTTCGAGCGGCCACTAATGGAAAAGCGACGAGTCATTGTCAATATATATTCAAATTTAAATCCCCTCGAACTAGGGGGTGACCCCCAATGCATTTCTGTGCACGAAATACAAAGATCAATCAAAAGCACTTTGCTCGCACGCACTACTAATGAGAAAAACGTTATATAGACGAAGAAATTTTCGAACGACGAGAGACAAAGTGGTTTGTTCTCCTCTAATGAAGGTTGTGTAGCTTACTGGAAACTTTTACCTGAACTGTATGTCTAAATTGCTGTCGGCTCAATTTGCTTCAGGCAAACCGATTAGGAACCCAACGATTAAGTCAATTTCAACGGAACTACACTACAAAAACTGTATCCAATTTTATATTACCCGCGAGAAAAACTTACAAAATACGAGATTCGAAGATTGACTCAACGAAAAAAATTAATAACGTTCTAGGGTTGCATGAGACAAACAGCAAACATTGCAGTGTTTGTAATTGCGTTGAAATGATTTACGACGTAATTGATCTGCGGAAAACGCTCGAAAATTCAAAGTTTTTAGTCGTGACCGGCGAGATCTTGGTGCATTTCGTGACTGTTAGTATCAATGTTGCTGAATCATATCGAGCAGGTGCACTTGATTACAGAAAAATGGTTCTTTGTTTCGGCCAGCACTTGCGGAAAACAATTTCCACGCGAGGGGATGAGACAATAAAAGTCCCGAATACAAATATGGCAGCCTTACCCTTTCAAGACAAGTAGCTCTGCATTGTGCGACCCTTAGGGGACTTCCTACATCCTGCTCTCCGCCAATAAAAATCGCCATCGACGAAGTGATCGAAGCCAGACCAAGGACCGTACGCCAAAACAACGCCATTTTTTCAAAAAAAAATCAAAAAAACACAAAATCAAAATTCAGACACTAAAACACATTCACAGAAAAAATAAAGAAAACACTGGGACGATCATGCAGGAAACTTAATCACACCACGGACACTTTTTTAGGGGTAACTTCGCGCGGTGGAGCTTTGATGGCAGCTTTCATCCGAGCTTTCATGCGACCATCTCCGACGCGAAAACTGAACTGAACTCAACTGAATGTTGGATCCGAACTGCGGCGCTCGAGTTGAGTGGGAAGTCGGCTTGCGTTCGGGCAAGAACGGGCTCTTCGAGGGTTGAGCCAAGGGGTGCTTCCACCCCACACTGGTTGAGGATCACGCGAAAATCAAAATTCTTGACGATTTTTGGGATTTCGCCAAACTCAACTCCACATCCTCTAGCAAAATAGACCATATCCAATTTAACAAATTCTAAGTCACTCAAAGCAAAAGTATAATTTTTATTTAAATGTAAAACCCTAAACCAACAGTAATCACTGTGTATATGCAAATGTCTTCTAAAAGAATGCTCACATAAACTACAAAGTTGCCTCCTACAACAGACGCACTAAGTCACCGTCACATGAAGTTAATTAGTTGGAAAATTGTACGCGCTTTTGTTAGTCTCTTAATCTTAAGAGATGTTTTAATTGTTAACAGAGTCAACTTAGAATTTATGATACTAAAAAATTCATAAATAATAAACTTGTTCTGTCGACTTGATTTATGAACATAACGATTTTTCCGACTCAAAAATTGACTGTTTTTGATTCTTTTTTTTTGTATTTCTGACTCATTTTCTTTCGTCTACTCCATCTACTCCCATCTGTATTATCATTTATCTTTCCCCCTAATCTACGTAATTTCATTTTCTCTATTTCCTTTGCTGAATCTTGAAATGATCCCCTTTTCCGTTCCTACTACATTTACGTTTCAATCAGATTTTCCACTATTAGAGTAACTCAGTCTCTGTCTCCGAAGAAAGCTTGAGGTCGGTAGTCTTGGAAATTGTAAAAATTTGAAGCAAAATTTTTCTAAACTTTTTCTCTCTTTTCTGATAATATGTAGTGGTAAAGTAAAATATAATAAAATTATTTAATTTTTTGTGTTATAGTGCTTGTGTTGTTTGTAAATGTTGTAAATTATGAAGCACTTTTCTCCCGCCGATGAAAATAAATGAAAAAGCTTCAGTTCTGTGTATAATGACCGAATTATGATACTGTACAAACAAGGAGTAAAAAAATATGTGTTCGCTTTGACCAACCCCTAAAAACAAAATATTTGCATATAATTACGAGTGTATGTTGTGTGATGGAACATAAATAAATCGATTAAAAAACTGTTCACCAAAGCCTCTTGGATATTGCAAACTTATTTGTAAAAAAATAAAAGCGTCGCTTCTTTATTACATCGAATTCATCACCCACTTCTCCGGCTGGTAGCACGACTCTGGTAGCTTAACTCCGTGTCCACTTTGCATTTTGATAAGATAGACGCGACCATAAAAATGGTGCCCATTTCAGAGGCCAGACATAACACGACTATATCACAGATGCTGGGACGAAATTAGTTTATTTATTTTGGTCGACGATGCGCTCACCTGCCACTTGAGGGAAAATTAACTTTAGCGAACAAAAAGAAGACACAGTGGCGGAGGTGGACAAAATTCGGCATTACGAAATGTGGGATTGGCACACATCCACTACTTTGATCACGGGTTTAGTTCGTCAATAAATTAGATTTGTACCTACATGTTTTCAAAAACTTTCAAACATTTAAGGATTTATTAAGAGGAAAACAAAGATCTTAAGGTGTCAAAAAATTTATTTATTCGCACATCTTGACTTGGCTACAAGTACAAAAACAATTTCAGATTCTTGTTAATATTTTTATTTTGTGTTTACATTTCCATGTCCAAATAAATTGTCACTGAAATGTAATGAACAGATTTATATTTTCACAAAGTGGCCGTTAACAATATTTAAAAATCGATAAAGTAATGACTTCCTTTCACCACCATTACAATTATTAAAAAACTGCTGCAGTAAGTTGCGCTGAAATGGGGAAAACGACAAAAACACAAAAGGTAGGTAATAGTACCTACTTAACCTAATAATTATTTCAGTTTTTATCGTTTAAAGAGTGCAACTGCTAACATCATCGTCTGTTGCGACATTATCAATGTTTGATTAGCTCATATTTCTTTTTCCTCTGTAGATATATTCCCCGAAGCTCGTCTAAGCAATCGTTTGGATTACGCCACTTTTCACACGAATCATCAATTCATCACTAGCGTGTTTTGATACATCTTCGTGTCTCTTGAGACAGGTTGTAAAATAAATGTTTTTCGCGTGTTGAAAAATTCAGGGTCGGAAAAATTTTTCTGGTCCCAACGTTTCGTTTAAATTATGCATTATTGGTCGTGTGGTGTCCTAATTTTCCGGTGCAGGAGACAACGGCGTGTTGTATTTTGTGCAAAATCGATGATGCTACAGGATCCAAAATGCCGCAAAAGCGTTTTCATGACGGCAAAACAGATCCCATCGCTGAATGTGTAACCTAATATTTGTTTATAACACATAAGATAAGCACTTGCAGGGAAATTACACTCTATAAGCTTCGACACTGCTAATATTAATTAAGGTAAATGTGGCTGCTTAGCGTGCTTCATTTTGAACGATAATCCGGGAGATAATAGAGGTTCACACTATTTGAAAACATTTCATTGAAAAAAAATAAGGTTTTTAAGAACTTTTTGGACACCTCACTACAGCGCTTGAAATTAAAATTGCAAATTATTGAGTCAAAATTAAGAAATCAACTTAAATGAGAACCTCTATTGATATATAGGTCCAGCATGCTGCAAATGACCGATTCATTTAAAGAAGCGAACTAATTGTGCCACCGTGGTCGAAAAAACCTCGCTTGGGTCCGTATTCTAACGAAGACATCTAATTAAACAAATCAACTCATTTACGAGCAAGTTAATTAAGTCATCACCAAAAATATCCCCATAATTAAGGTGAGATCGTCGAAACCTTATCTATAAGATCGTTTTACCGTTCTATGTCTGCAATTATGTCGATTTTACGGCTCCTGTTGGGTTTAATCAAATTTTTCGTCAAGAATTCGCTTTTTCGAGGTTCAAAACACAGGTGTCTGGTGCGTGCATGGGCGTCCGGCAAAATTATACGTTCCGATAAGGTACAGTGACAAATTATTTGTGGAATTGTGACCAGTTGAACGCGTTATCGGTTAAGATCGCGTATTGACGGCTTGCATAATTATGTACATTTAATTTGCATATCTTGGCTATTAGTCGAGTGTACAGTTATGTCGGAGGCGCTCGGCGATATCGTACCTACCGCAAATAAATAAATCGTCCCTTGATGCACGCCACTGGACCCCTGACAATTAAAACGTCAAAAATGCTTGATTTGTGACCGGAGTAGCGCACGAATGTACAACATAATTCGCAATTGCTACGTAAACGTAACGTAATTATTTTTGCGAAAGAGGCGTTACACCCACGACGAGAAAAATCTCCATCTAACTGTTTTTTAATGCATACCAGACTCATAAATTTCGTCAAACTAATGAACTAGAAACCTAATCAATTAACTAAACCAACGAAAATGATCGATACCTCCATATATTTTCTTGAGTGAATTTAGGAGCTATAGAATTGCTAATTAAGCAAGGCTAGATCTTTATTTCGTTTTGTGTGTAATTTTTTTCTAATTAAAGATTTTTACGTGTTGTTCTATCAATTAAAACGACTCTCAAAAACCAATTAATCCGATATGTGTGTATCTTGACAGTTTAATTGGTTTTTTGAGCGGGAAAGACGGAAGTACGTCCTAGCAACCTTTTTTTTTTCAGAAGGAACAAATGTAGGACGTGGAAAAATAGTAAGGTATTAATTTATTGTACCTTCCATATACATAAATAATTTGTCGCCTTGGGTAAGCTCTTGAAATTGCAAGAATTCTGAAATTTGTGTCTGCTTCGTGTAAAACTAGAAGCGAGTGCTTTAAGCTCTTCTATTGATAAATTTAAGCGCAATAAATCGCGACTTAAGTGCTTTATAAATTTACCAACAAAGTACGCGAGTTGTATGAAAGAAATAACTCGGATACGTCACGAGTTATTCGAATAATTCCGACAAAATTTATGATTTCGCATTGAATTCTCGTATGTCCTATCAAAAATTCAATTATTCCGATTTTGGTCGCGGCTTACATTTCACATAAATCAAAAGCTCGACATTCTTAATAGGTGGCCCCAATTTCCTTTCGGTGATAACTCTTAAGAAGAATGTTACAAATCTAAGATACCTCAGTCTCTTAAATCTCGTTAAGCCCACTATAAACTTGGGAAATCCGACTAGTGCACGCACCAACAACTCCCAACATCTATGACGAGTTCAACGCACGTACATGTGTGTCTTTTTTTGGTGATTTTTTACCGGATACGGTCCTGACTTGGTAAATATAAAAAGCTCCAAAGGATTTAACGATAGTGTCACCTAACAGAACACATAAAGCTGTTATGTGGTCGCATTTAACGGCTCGCCTCTAATATCTCCTCCATACCTTTACACTATTTATTGGAACAATATTTTAGGAAGGAAAAGTGTACTAAATAATTACGAAGACGACGCTAAATGAGACTAAAGACGAGCTTTTCTAAAGCCCACAAGAGTCGTTTATTTATCTAACTGTAAAAACATATTTTTCCAATACTCTCTTTACATAAAGTGGAGTGCCTTTTTGACTCTTCTCATTCAAACTCAAATAAAGCTGAAGTTTTCAAATGTTTCTGATTAATTGTTGGGAAAGGTTTCTGTTACATACTATAACAAAGAGTAATTTTTCTGTCAAGTAAATAATTAAATCAGCGGAAAATCAGCAAAACATAAATTGCTGTTTTCGCTACCTCCACAAGCCCAGTATCTGCCCACCTTCTGCAAGTAATTTATTAATCAGTGTAGGTAAGTTGTAACGTACTTAAACGATAATTTTTAAAACTCGGAATATATTGTTACACCTAACAATTTCTCTTGGTTTCTGCAGAAAGTGAAATAGGTTTTGGGTACCATTCCCACCTTTCTAGTACAACAATTAGCGTTATGGTCAAGCGTCCAGCTACCGGCACACACACACTCCAAGAACACGTTTCTCTTTACGGAAAATTAAACGTTTTATAGTCACCGTGCACGATATTTTGCCTTA